TTCAGAGACGATGCTGGCGTACTGGAAAGAGTGGTGGGAAGTTTTGTATTAACCTATTTGTTTAGTCTTTGAGCTGTAAATGTAGAGTAGCAGGAGACGGAGAGACAGGTAAAGGAAATGAAGAACTTGTATAAAAATAGAAGAAAATATATGAGGAGGAGTATACGAAAACAGCAAGTAGAGAAAGTGGTGTATGAAAATAAAAAAATGTATAATGATGAGAATACGAAAACAATAATAGAATAAGAAAATAATAAAATGCGTAAAATACATAACATCAATGGTACTGACTTGCATTTAAAAAAATTGAGACCGAAAAAAGTGAACCACAGCTGAAATCCCGCGCCCACCTGTCGTATGTCCTCCTCGGGCAGCGCGGCCGTCCCCAGCACAGCCAGGACCTCGAGCTGCCTCTGGGCCTCCTCCTCAAGATGGCGCCGCACCCCCGCCCACTTCTTCGCCTTCTGCCACACCTCCTTCCGCACGCGCGCGTACTGTACCTGCCTCGAGATCTGAAATGTGACACAAACAGTGCGTGGAGGAAAAGCGAAGGAGCAAAGAGACACAGAAGAAATACAGGGAGAAAAACGTACATAGATGAACGATAAAAAATGAACTTCAACACCCCTTTTCCGCCGCTCACTCGCCCCCCCCCCATCTCTCATTTTAAGGCGGTGCGTGAGAGGAGTTCTGAGCGCCCACTTGGCCTAACGTTGCCCTTAACCACCCCTAAACCCGCCCTAATAAGCCACACTAACTTCCCTACCCCCCTACCCCCGCCCCGTCCAAAGACAACCCTTCCCTCTCAGACTCAACCCCCTTGCCAGCCCCCCTCCGCCGTGCCCCTTTGCCCCAACCCATCCCCCTTCCCACTCCCGACCCCTAGCCCTTTAGGTACACCCATTCCCCCTCCTTCCCTTCCCCCTCCAACTCCTTCCCCTCTAAATGCAGTCCCTTCCCTCCGCCCCCTCATCTCCTCACTTTCCTCATCTCCTCCTCACCTTCCTCCTCATCTCCTCACCTTCCTCCTCATCTCCTCCTCATCTCCTCACCTTCCTCCTCATCTCCTCCTCCCCTTCCTCCTCATCTCCTCACCTTCCTCCTCATCTCCTCCTCACCTTCCTCCTCATCTCCTCCTCACCTTCCTCCTCATCTCCTCCTCACCTTCCTCCTCATCTCCTCCTCACCTTCCTCCTCATCTCCTCCTCACCTTCCTCCTCATCTCCTCCTCATCTCCTCCTCACCTTCCTCCTCACCTTCCTCCTCATCTCCTCCTCACCTTCCTCCTCATCTCCTCCTTACCTTCTTCCTCATCTCCTCCTCCCCTTCCTCCTCATCTCCTCCCCTTCCTCCTCATCTCAACACCTTCTTCCTCATCTTCTCACCTTCCTCATCTTGTTGTGGTGCGTGAGGTTGGTCTGGAACGCCCAGTTGGCCCTGACGAAGCGCGCGCAGGCGAGGGCCAGGGCGCCGTTCTGCTGACGGAGGAAGGACTCGGCCATCGAGGACAGCTCCGTCCGGGACACCTTCAAACGGCCGGAGCTGGCTGGGGAGGGGAGGGGAGGGGAGGGGAGGGGAAGGGAGGGGAGGGGAAAGGGGGGAAAGAGAGGGGAGAAGAAGAGGGGAGGGGAAAGGGGGGGAAAGAGGGGGGAGAAGAAGAGGGGAGGGGAAAGGGGGGGAAAGAGGGGGGAAAGGAGGGGAGAGGGGAATGGGTAAAGGGGGGAGGGAAACGAGAGGGGGAGAAGAGGGGGGAGGGGAAGAGAGGAGGGGGAAGGGGAGAGGGGGAGGGAAAAGGTGAGTTGGGGAGAAGGGAGAGAGGGATGAAAGGAAAGGGAAAGAGGGAATGAAAGGCAAAAGGTGTGAATGGAAAATGGGGTACGGGGTAGGCGAAAGGAAGGGAAGGAGGACGGAAAGGGTAGGAGGGACGAGATAAGGAAGAGGAAGAGAATGATGATGGTGATAATAATAATGACAAAAATGGTAATGATATTGACAATAATGATGGTGTAGATAATAATTACGGATTCACTGACAGGATCTTGTTTATCGTGTTTTTTTCACGATGTGTAAAACGGGATACAGAGAAAAATGTAGAGAGGATTGTAAAGGTAAATTGAAAGCAGAAAGAAAACGATGTAATGGTACTTGTTTTGAAAACAGAGAGAAGATAGGAGAGAGAGAGAGAGAGAGAGAGAGAGAGAGAGAGAGAGAGAGAGAGAGAGAGAGAGAGAGAGAGAGAGAGAGAGAGAGATAGATAGATAGATAGATAGATAGATAGAGAGAGAGAGAGAATGAGAGAGAGAGAGAGAGAGAGAATGAGAGAGATGAGAGAGAGAGAATGAGAGAGAGAGAGAATGAGAGAGAGAGAGAATGAGAGAGAGAGAGAGAGAGAGAGAGAGAGAGAGAGAGAGAGAGAGAGAGAGAGAGAGAGAGAGAGAGAGAGAGAGAGAGGAGAGAGAGAGAGAGAGAGAGAGAGAGAGAGAGAGAGAGAGAGAGAGAG